GTAATATAGAAAAGTTACATATGTAGCCAATTGTACGCTCTCCTGTAGTGGTTCATTGAACCACAATACCGATAAGTGATTAATAAAAGTCAAAAGATCAAAGAGGTCATCTTAAAAAAAAAAAAAAAACAATAAGACAAGATTGAAAATTTTTAGCAAAAGATGAGATAATTGATCGAAAATGTGACAAGTATTGAAATGTAAAATCTGGTGAAAAGTATGATAAGTTATATATGAAGATGGATCTAATGACAAGAAGTTAGGATATCTGGCATATAGAAAATTCTTTGCCAGTTCAGTTTTGATTAAATTGTTTTTCTTAGAATATAAGCTTTAGTATTAAATATGTTGATTAGATAGAGTTAAAGTAGAGATTACTGTATTTAGTAACATATAATTTTTAGTAGGCTGATACAGCCTTTATAATTAGTGACTATTTGTCTAAACATTGTCAGCAATCTCCTTTTTTTTCATTTCTTAATATTTGTTTTTTTTATGTTTTTTTCTTATATACATTTTTTTTTAATATATTTTCTTTTAATAAAAAAAATTTTTTTGGTTTTTTATCTCTTTATGAATGAATGGTATCAGATTGGTACTGTTTAATTGTAGAGTGACAGACAGATGAGCTTGATCTAGACTTTAGCAAGTTTGGTGTAGCAGGTCACTCATAGGTGCTAATTGTAACTGTGTGATAATGACACATAGAGTTAAACATAGTTCTATTTGTATATTGTCTGTACTAAATATTTATAAATAAACTTCTAACTGGTTAACTATTATAGCTGCCAAAGGTAAAAAAAAAATTAATTGTTATATTATTTTAGAGTATCCTAAGACATTTGGTGCATGATCTGGGTCCTTTGGTCAGGATTTTTATAATATTAAACAAATATTATTTTAAATATCCAAACAACTATTAGCTAAAATAAAATACTATAAGAAAGCTACTAATAAATAAATATTAATCTATTAAATAATATTCAAAACTAGAAGATAGTAATCTTAGTATAGTAGTTGGATTGTCATTCTCTAAGTAGCAGATCTAAAATTCAAATTTCATTTATGACAAAATTTGGAAATTATATTTGTATTATGATAACTGTCTTTTATTGATTAGTTGGCCTTATGCAGCTGTAACTCAGATACACCAAGTTGGGTTCTATTGACATTGGGAGCTTAGAGCATCTATGTGAAGTGTAACATTATATATACATAGAGGAATGTATAACCAGTATTGCATAAGACTTTAGTACAAACTCATAATAAGACCACTAGGTGCAGAAGACTAAGGAACTGAGGTAATGGAAACCTACTTGAAAATTCCTGAGTAAAGAAGTAACATGAACTTTTAACAGTACTATTGGACTAGTTGAAGCCTACAAAACATCTTTATAGAAACCAAAAATTAAACTGAATGCCAAATATGTATAGAGAAGCATATAACTAACTAGGCTGCCAGATTCACTGAAGGAAAAGGATACAGAAGTATATCATACTAAGCTATCTAGATTTGTAGTCTAGAAAAAACTGCTGATTTTGAGTTGTGGCTAGTAGAAGATAATAGAGAAGATGCTAAGAAGATAAATACTAAGTTCTAGTAAATTTTACAAAAGTAGAAATAGTATAACATAGCAGTTAAACAGATAACCTTTGTAATTGCAAATATTAGATAACTATAGCATGTTGTATAAAACTAGGTTTATATATGTAAGACATAAAGGCTCTAGTAAGTTTCTTGTTAAGAATAAATTAGTTCTAAGGATAACAACTAGCATTAGGAACTTGAATGGATATAGCCTTAAAATGTTCTTATAATACAAAAAGGATTGCATATGCAGAAGGTTTAAATAGGCAAGACCCCTAGTTGGCTTGCAAATATGGCAACTAGTATAAAACTTATATAGTAATATATAAGTAAACTACTTAAATTAGGCATCAAAAATGCATATGTAACTAGTTGTAACCTTTAATGTAAGGTAAGCCTTTGGTGACATGCTGTGTTTTAATATACTTGAATAAAAACATTATATTCTTAAGATAGAAACTTTAATTATAAAAAAAAAAATAATAATAATGTTTAAAACTAATAAAATAATTTATAAACTATATAAAAATACTAAAAAAAATATAAAATATAATATAGGGCTAAAAATAAATATATAATAATATATATAAAAATAAATTCTATTATAATATATCTTTTTTTTGTTAAAGATTATATCTTATGTGATACTTTATTGACTTTTATTAAGTTAGTTATTACAACTATTTTTACAGAAATAAGAGTACAACTAGTCACACATGCAACTTTTGATTGCCTATTTAAGTATTCTACTCTAAGGTTCTACACTTGATGCCATACCTATAACTTATTAGAAAATTATTTATTTAAACTCTTTGATTATCTGCTTTGTCATGATGTAACCTCAACTAACCTCTTATATATATCTAACTAGTATACTATCTAAGCAGTATGATATCTATCCTTTTTGCATTAGTTCCTAGACTATTATACATTTTAGAATACAATATTTGAGTAAGATACAGAAGGCCTCCTGTTGTTAACTATCTACTTACTTTTAGAACATTAATAAGAACTATTCTTACAGAGTTTATTTAGACTCTAACACTAACTTTATAGCATATCTCTAGTACTTTTAGTATACCTCTGCTTTAACCTTAAACTTCCAATTCAGATAGCCTAGAAGGACTGTAATTTGTCTTTAATATATTAAAGCCAGTTCAATATTCTTTTTCTTTAGACTGAAATCTGATAGCCTGGTTGGTAATAATCCTTACTCAAGATTTTTATCTGCCTAATTTTCTACATTGGTATCTATTTGCTAGGTCTAGCCTTTATAGTAGTACTGTTGAAGCTTTGTGTTACCTCTCTGCTTAAAATTTCTAAGTAAGCTTTGGCTTTTCAGTTTTACAAATTTACATAGCCTAAGAACTTATTTTAGGTTTGCATTGTCTAGTATCAGTTTGTATTTAACTGTGCAACCAAGATTACACAGATGCCTCAGATTTGCAAGTTATACTAGTATGACTATAGTTACAGGTATCTTATTCCAACAAATTGACAGAATGCTGTTCTGTAATACTGTCTATATATTATATAGGTGATTATTTAAATTCACTATTGGTAGGTTTTGAACTTACAATCTACTACTTGGGAAGATGACAACTTATCTACTCACTAAGTTGCAACACCTTTATAGTATATTTTAAAAACAATATTCTTAAAAACTAAATCTGTATTAATTATAAAGATACCAGATTGAACTCCTGTAGCTTTAATTGTTTGTTATAGTATTTATCTATAACTTTTACTTATTTTATTAAAGAATATAACCTGTATAATAATTTGTTATTTGAATTATTGTTTACAATAGTGAAAATACTTAATGGTAGATTATAAGTATTAGTTATTGCTGTGTTATTATTTAAAATGATATTTATATAATGTTATTAAAGTTTTTGTTGTTTAAAAGTTATATAAAATACATTCTATAATCTATTTGTTTTAGAATTAATTAATGATTGAACATATCAATTAGGGTTTTTGGTATGCTTTTTTTCAAAATGCTGAAGAAGCTTTGTAACATTACTACTTTCTATTTTATAAGTATGATAAAACTTATATATATAGTTTTTCATATCATAATTTACAATTATAAATTCAGGAAATAACTTATAAAGTAGCTGCATCTAAGATAAAATATTAAAGTTACAAAGATTATAGCTTTCAATAAGCTTTTTTATTTCTGTAATAAGTTTTTAATAGCAAGTAACAAAGTTAGCATTTTTAGAAACTGGCTGATAGTTGTGTTTAAAATATATTAATATTAACTTAATTATAGCTTTATTATCAAATCTCTTACTCTTAGATGAATTTACAAAAAAAAGATAACTAATTATTTTTGATCCTTTATTTTGTTGCTTTTTGGATGATGCAGTTTTATATGATATATATTTATTAGATTGTTTATAATTCCAGATATGTTGATATAAATTATAACTATTATCTATCTGCTTCTTCATCATTGTGAAATTTTTTTGATATACATAATATTTTAACATCTTTTGATATTTTTTTTATATTTTAAAAGCCTTTTTATAAAAAAGTTTAATGCAAATTAAAAGTAAATGTTTAAGTTAATCATTATTGGCATTAGTATTATTAGAAGTAAACTTGTCATTATCTAGTTTATTATTGATATTAATATTCTCTTTAAGTTCAATATAAGGTTTATTTTTTGTATTTTTTTTAGATCCAATATTAAGCTTATTTTCAATATTCTTTTTAAGTTTAATCTCAAGTTTACTTTTAAAATTCTTTATAATTCTATTATATAAAGTTTTATTTAACTTATTAACTACTAGTAAAATATTTTTTATATTAGCAAAAAGTCTTTTTGCTATTGAAACAAGATAAAGTCAAAATAGTAAATAACTTGTAAGAAAAAAAAAAACCAAAAAAGTTCTATTTACAAAAAAAAATAAAAATTTTAGTTTTAAAATATCATATAAAGTTTATTTAATATTTATAAGCTTTTTATAGTTATTGTTATAGCTGATTATAAAATTAAATTATTGTAAAATTTAAATCTATTTCATATATGATTTTTAATTTTTTATAAGCCTTTTTTGTAGGCTTTTTTTTTATAGTTGAATTAGGATTTAAAGTTAGAGTTTTAAATAAAAAAGTATAGATAAATATTAGTAGAACCTATATTTTCAAATCAAGACGCCAAATTTTACAATAATCTGATTTTATAATTAGTTACAACAGTTACTATAGCATTTCAAACTAATATTAAAAAAAAACTATAATATAAAAAAAAAATTAAAAATGCAAGATAAAAATATAAAAACAAAGTATATATATAAGTGCAAATAAAAATAACAATTACACCAAAAAAAAAGTTTGTTATATAAGAAATTATGCCAAAAAGAAGGCTCATTATATAAAAGACTATGCCAAAGAAAAGATTTGTTATATGAGATTATATCAAAGAGAAAGTTTATCAAAAAAAAACTATGCATTAAAGAAAAAAGAATTTAATATTAAGATTAGTGTCTTTAAATATCTAAAATATAAAAACATCATTTGTTCTAATCTTTAACTTACTATAAACAATAAGTAAGTAACAAAAAAGCTTGATAATATATATACTTATACTTAAATATCTAATATATAATTACATATATATAATAATCTTATTTTTTATATTAAGAATGATATATTTTAATTTTTTTTTTTTAGTATTAAGGTGACCTTTTTAGTCTTTTGACTTTTATTAACAATTTTTAGTAATATGATTCTATAAACTGTTACAAAAGAGTGTACAATTGGCTATATGTATAACTTTTTTATATTCTCTATTTAAGAAGTTCATCTAAAGATTTTTTACTAATTATTATATCTAACACTTCTGCTTAAGTGTTTTACTTTAAACCTTCTGAACCTGTAATCTGTATTAACTTATTGGGTCATATTTAGATGCTCAGATCATCATCTTAATTTTAGAACTATTTTATATTTAAGGTAAACTTCTTAGAGCCTTTTGTATTTATTTTTATAGCTAACCTAAATATTACTATAGCAAAACCAATAGTTACAATCAGGACTTAATCATTAAATTACTATATCTCTTGTAGAGTATATTTCAACTTCAGCATTTATTTTATAATATAACCCTAGTACTTTAGTATACTTTTGAATTTTACTAAACTTCAAATTCAGATAGGTTATATAAAACTACAATTAGTCTATCAGTATATTAAATTGGTCTAATATTCTTTTCTTTAGTTTATTTTAGCAGTCTAGTTGGTAGTATCTCTAAGACTTTCAACTTGGAGATTCTTGCCTATCTAGTTACTAAGATATTGGTATCTGTTTTCCTAAACTAGTTTTTACAGTAATACTATCAAAGATCCAATTATCTTTATACTTAGATTTTTTTAAATAGACTTCTTGTTATCCAATTTCAACAGATTTACATGACTACAAGAACTTATTTAGTATTTGTATTATCTAGTTGTTAGTTTGTATTCTTTTGTATAACTTTATATTGCATAGATGTCTTATAACCTGCTAGTCATACTGGTGTAACTGCTATTACAAATATTCTAATCTAATTATTAGTAATAATTGCTATAATACAAATATTATATAAATGATTATTTAAATTTTTACTATTAATAAGATTTGAACACTCAACCTACTACTTAAAGGATTGACAACCTGACTACTTTACTAGATTACTATACTTCTATATTTTAATTTTGTATTACTACCTATAAATAACAGTATCATATAAGTATTAGTTAACTTTTTCTCTAAAAATTAATTAAAAAATAAAAAAAGTTTATTAATAATAAGTTAAATATAAGTATTATAATGTAATACTTATTATAGTGCAGTTGTGATATCTTGTAATCCAATAATCAGAATCAGATAATTTTTATACTATTAGATTCATCTCATCAATATGAATTAATTGGTACAAAAATCATCTAATTCTAATTACTGGATTACAAGATATCTTCATTTAACTAAAGAAACCAGATTTATAAATTAGTTTTTTTACAAGAAATCATCATAACATCCAACATGTGATTTTTTTTACTAGATAAATCGATTTTAGTACATTAAGTAAAGTTGTTTATAATACAATATTCTACATAATATAAAATTTTAGTAAATTTCAAATAACTTTTTATTAATATACTTTTTTTTTATACGTTTTTGTACCAGTGATATAATTATGATGCAAAAATGTATAAAATGAATGTGCATTAATAAAAAGTTATCTGAAGTTATTAAAATTTTATATTATATAGAACATTGCATTACAAACAACTTTATTTAATATACTAAGTTCAATTTATCTAGTAAAAAAGGTCACTTTTTGCATGTTATAATGATTTCTTATAAGAAAACAATTATAAATCTGGTTTCTTTAGTTAAATGAAAATATTTCATAATTCAGTACTTAGAATTAGATAATTTTTGTACTAATTAATTCATATTAATAAGATAAATCTAATGGTATAAAAATTATCTGATTTTAATTACTAAATTACAAATTATTAACTATAAAATTTATTTTTTATTTTTTGGTTAAAAGATATACTTGTGGTAATACTTTATTGACTTACATTAGGTTAGCTATTACAATTATTTTTACAGAGATGAGAATATAGCTAATCATGAGTACAACATTTGGTTGCCTATTTAAGTAGTCTATCCTAAGGTTCTATACTTGATATCATATCTATAACCTACTAGAAAATTATTTATTTAAACTTTCTGATCATCTGTCTTGTCATATTGAAATCTCTAACTTATTCCTGTATATACCTAACTGGTATGCCATCTGAGCAGTATGGTTACTTACCCTTTTTGTACTGATTCTCAGGTCATTATACATTTCAGAGTATGTCACTTGCCAGTAAGACACAGAGGACCCCTCATTATTAACTATCTATATACTTTTAGAACACTAATACAGACTACCCTTATAGAGTTCATCTAGACTCTAGCACTAACTTTATAGCATATCCCTAGTACTTTTAGTATATCCCTGCTTTGAACTCAGACTTTCAATTCAGATAGCCTGGAAGGATTGTAACCTGTTCTTGGTATATTGAGACTGACCCAATATCCTTTTTTCTCTGGTCTGAAATTTAGCAGCCTGGTTGGTAGTACCCTTACTCAAGATTCTTGCCTGCCCAAATCCTTTACATTGGTATTTATTTTCTAGATCTAGCCTTTACAGTAGTACTGTCAAAGATCTATGTTATCTCTTTGCTCATAATTTCCAAGTAGCTTTGGCTTCTTAGTTCTACAGATTTACATGGCCTGAGGACTTATTTTAGGTTTGCACCACCTGGTATCAGTTTGCATTCCTTTGTATAACAGGTTATATGAATGTCTCAGACCTGCCTGTCATGCTAGTGTGATCATAATTACAGGTATTTTATCCTAACTGATCGACAGAATACCATCGCTATAATACCATCTATATATTATATAGGTGATTATTCAAATTTCACTGTTAGTAAGTTTTGAACTCACAACTTACCACTTGGAATATAACAACTTATTTACTTTACTAAGTTGCCACACCCAAACTGTAAAATTTATATGCATCATAATATCCATATTATACTATTTATTATTTTTTTTATTGTTTTTTTAAATAAATATATCTTGTGATTCAGTAATAAGAATCTAATTTATATTATTAGATTCATCTAATTAAGATGAATTAATTGGTATAAAAATTATCCAATTCTGATTACTGAATCATAAATTATTAGCTATAGAAATTAAGTATGTCATAATACCTATACTTATCTTATATTTTAATTTACTATATAAAAATCTTTTATATAGGTTTTGCATATCAATTTCATACAAACTGACAGTCAAATTTGTACAAACTGACAGTCAAATTTATACAAACTGACAGTTAAATTTATACAAATTGACAGTCAAATTCATACATAACACTTTTAATTAAATTACAATATCTTGTAATCTAGTAACTTAAATTATATAAATTTGGAATTATTTGATTTATCAAAATTAGATGAATTAAATAATACTAAATTTATGTAATTTAAGTTACTAGGTTACAAGATATTGTGATTTAATTAAAAGTGTTATGTACAAATTTGACTATTAATTTGTATGAATTTGACTGTCAGTTTGTATAAATTTGACTGTTAGTTTGTATAAATTTGATTATCAGTTTGTATGAAGTTGGTATGCAAAACCTGTACTATATAAGTTATTTGAAAAATAATCTATATATATCTTATTTTTAAATAAAAATTTTTAATATATTATATAAAACTATATAAAATAATACCAAATTATATAAATATAATTTATATATCTTTATTTTTAAATAATTCTATTGTTAATTACTATTTAAAATATTCAAACTATTTAACTTTATAATTAAATATTTAATTAATCTAAAATAACTTATTCTTTAAATTATTATCTTACTAATTACTAATTTATA